CAGCCCAGTGTGGCTGCAGAACAGGGGAAAAGCAGATCTCAGGTGTCAATGCTGAGCTACAGCAACCAGAAAGATGGAGGAACTGAAGGAAAAAGCAGGAGAATTAAACCCCGCAGATTCCTACAGAGCATCTGGAATCACAAGGTCATCCTTGGCAGGAGAGCTTATCTGAGAGTGGGTCTATACAGGAACGACAGTTTGACAAGAAACACTCAAGAGGAGAAAATGTGCTTTAGGGGACTCCTTTTGACCAAAGAAGTCCATGGGTTCAGAGGCAGGGGTACGCCTGGAAAACTCTACTATGTCTTATTCCTGCTTGCTTTTGTCATAACTAATGCCATAAAAACCATGAGTTTTATAAATACATTTTGAACAAAAGAACATACTTATCTTTAATAGAGGGTTATGCAACAAATACTAATTCACCAAGAATGTAAGGTAAATACATTCACCTTTTATACCAGAAAAACTGACAAAGAGCTCACAGCAATTCTCTGAGTTAAAAACACTATTAAGGGCTGCAAAAAGGACAGGCTTCTAATGAAAAATCTTGTTCTGCTTTCTAATAGAAATTCAAAGTGATATCGAAATTTCCAGTGAAATTGAGAAGCTGGGGCTTGCTGTGTTAGACTGCAAGTCTGCTATCGAGTTCAGTAAGACTGAAGGATCTAGTAATGTCTTTGGGTATTCTTGACTTCATGTTAGGAGCTTGGCTTTTGGTGTGGGTTGGTTTTTTAAATGTAATAATTGTCTCACTCCCTTGGATAAATACACTTTGCAACTTGCTTCATAGATGTGCTAGAGGTTTTGCAGCCTTTACAATCTGTCATATAAATCCACATTCAAGTGTCAATGTGTGAAGGGGATACTTTAGAGGTCCTCTGGGTGAAAACATGAATGGAATTTCTAGAGAAAATGCTCTCAAGGATGAAAAATTTGTCTACTTATCCAGTTACTTCAGAAATAAGATGCTGATGGTGAGAGTCACTAGACTAAATTCAACAGTGGATTTTTCTTTATACCTGTAACTCAAAACTACCAGAATTAGGAGTTCTGGTGGAAAAACTTGCTATATCAGTAAACTATTGAAACCAAGCCTCAGATTCACGTAAGACAACATCAGCTCCCATGTGCCTCCAAAGCTTGTTAACTTTAATGGCTATTTTGGGTATGCACAAAAAACAGCTTCAAGTAGCTAAAGAGGGATTAATAATATTGTTTCTTAAGTAATTTCTGTGACCACCATCATTATGCTGTTGTTGATCATAATTTCTTCCATGCTTTTCATTTTTCTTGCCTTTCACCCTCTTTCTTGTGTTTCATTCAAAAAGCCAACTGATGAGATGTGTAAGAGCAGTGCATAAGGTGAGCATAAGTGGTTTAGAAACCATCTTTGGCGCTGGCTGTCTAACCCTCTTCTTTGTCACACCAGTTGTGCACTGCTCAAGTTCCCCCCTTCTTAGGTGTATTTATGTAGCCTATAAAAAATTACTAGAAAGAGGGCCTCTGCCCCTCTTAATGCCTAATCTGGCACCCTTCACTTATGCAAATCTAATTAATGGACAAAAGCTTTTCTCTCAGCAGCTGCACTAATACAAACAACATCAAAGGCTGTCAAAGTTGCTCTGAAACAACTCTGGAATCACTGAAATGCAAGAACTTGCCTCTGACTTCATATCACCAGCCATTCACTCACTCACGTACGACTTCCAGAATCAGGTCCTTTCTCCAAATTAGAGCCAACCACCTAACTTGGGAACAGCCAGGCAGAGCCAGCTGAGTGGGCTAAGCACAGTCAATCCTAACAAATTACAGTAAGAAATCTACCACACTGACTGCCGTCAGCTGTAATTTATATCATACCAGAGGGGTGACTGGAGAGCAGGCATAGGCAGGAACTGGTCATACCTATACTTGCTCCCGCTGGGCCTGATCTGGCAAGCTGTTGGAGCTCTTCTGTCTCTTCAAAGTCAAAGTGAACTGAGTTTGTTCAGGACTTCACATGACTGGACCTCCTCAAAATACTATGAAGTATAAACATGATTTGATGATTTATTTTCTTCTGTTTTCCATTAGCATGTGATGTCTCTGTGTATGCACACCCTAACTGTATTTATACACATGCTCACAATCTGTATGTGTCCTTTAACATTCATGTACAGTACATGCTACAAGGTAAAAGCCTACTTAGGATTTTGGAGCACTGATAAATAGACATTGTAACAGAAATAAACAGGAAGCGTTATTTCCACAGCTTCCAGTTTTAGTGGGTACAAACTACGTGCGACTGGGGCTATGATTTAGCAAAGCACTTCAGAGTATCAGCTTACATCTTTTGCTGAAATACAATGTACGAATATAATTTCTTAGATTTGGAGTTTTAAACTCACCCTTAAACCGAGAGTTTAATATGCTAACCAAAGTAACCCAGGAAGCTCTGCGTGGGATGAGTATGGTCACGCCTCTGTGGCCATGCATGTTATCACTGACCACAAGCTAACAGTACTCGGCCATTAATTAGAATCATAGAATACTTAGAATTGGAAAGGACCTTAAGATCATCAAGTTCCAACCCCCTGCCATGGGCAGGGACACCTCACGCTAAACCACATCACCCAAGGCCTCATCCAACCTGGTCTTGAACACTGCCAGGGATGGAGCACTCACAACCTCCCTGGTCAACCTATTCCAGTGCCTCAGCACCCTAACAGGAAAGAATTTCCTCCTTATATCCAATCTAAACTTCCCCTGTTTAAGTTTTAACCCAGATGTCTTGCTCAGAAGAGCTATTGCTTTCCTAATGCACCTGTGACAGACCTGGGATTCCTCTCCCAGCAAGACCTGTGAAGATAAGTCTGTGCCTTATGGAAGATACACACCATGGCAGCAAAGCACCATCAGGAGCTTCAACCATCCCCACTGAAATCAATGCAAGTACTCTGCCTGAAACAGGAATGAGAGCAGGCCAGACTTAATGGGGGGTAACCAACCAAGTCTACTATGCAGCACTGCAGAGAAACAGATTTCACATAAATAAATTAAGGGGGGAGGGGGAGGAAACAGATTAAGGTGCACCCTTCATAATAACTTCATAATGTATCTAGCAATATTCCTACTTGGGATGCTGGATAAAATTGTCATCTGAAGATTTCATCCTGTAAGCTTTTACTCCAGCAAAAAATAGCTTTTGAGCAGCTGAAAAAGCATTCAACCCTCATTAGATAACACAGCAATGGAAACAAAAGACAGTAAACAGCAAAATATCAGGCAGCACACAAGCTCTGGTCACGGTTTTGTACTTTCAGTTTTAACATAGTACAAAATCTTAAGAAATACTCTTGTTACTATCAAACGGGAGGTTTTAGATCAATACCCTATACTCTTTAAATAAAATCTGTGAATTTATATATATTTTCCCAAAGCTTCCATAACTGAAGTTTTCATTAAGTCTGATATAGGGCGTATTTTAAAAATACTGTCAGCAGTGATATTTTAAAATGTGGAAACAGATGTGCTACTCTATTACAACTACTGAATCTTCCCTGTATTTTTTTATATTATGAAGTATTTGTCTGCTTCTCTGCTATAAATCTCTCCCCACTGAACAGATTTCTTCTCTATGATTAAAGCAGTACTACACAGGCATCACTAAACAGGCATTGTCCAGAAAAATCATATTGTTTGGCCTGACCATAAAATATAGGTATTTCAGTAATTGTTTCTTTTCCATGCAGAATTTCAGCAACTCCCATTCCTTAGAATGAAATCACAGCCATATGCTTTATGACATCAGAGGCATTTCAAGGTGTGTCCATAAATGTCATTTATTGCTTGGGAACCTGCCAAATCTGCAAAAATACCTCATTCTTTTAAAGGAAAAATCTTCAAATGAAACTAGAGCTTCACACTGGCTGTCATAGAAAACAAAACAAAACAAAACAAAAAGACAAAAAAAAACAACCCAAACCTGTCCTTTATGAAAAGGCCATGCAGGTAGCAAAACCTCTGGCGATGAAACCTGCTGACCTGGGCTCTGGTTTGGAGTCAAGAGTGCCTCCTTTAACCAGTCTGCTGGGCACCCTGACACTGCACATCCACACCTTCTCTTGGCTACATAAGAGGCACTTGCCTTTCTGAAGAACAAGCAGTCTGAATGATGAAGAGCTCAACTAGTTTAGTGATCATAACTGTAAATCAAAATCAGGTAGGTCTTAATACACTGCTCCAATGACCGTGCTTTAGCCATTAACACAGCAGTTTCTTCCACACTACCAGCACAGGGCTGATACTGTCCAGGATCCCCCACCCTTCACATACCCAGTGGGACTGGGAGCACACACAAACATACTTTCAATGCCACACCTATTCGTAATTGGGCATATATGGAGTGTAATATATGATAATGTTGGCCAGATCTAAATAAATCTTGCCAGATATGTCACCAACCTGTCCAGCACAAATCAACTACCTTTAAGCACGCAAAGATTCAATCCTGTTTGCAGCTAAGAGCAGACAGAGTGGGTCAGCTGTGTGGCCACTACGCACAGGAAATGACCACTGACAGTGAGCCATACAGCTACCACTGGCGTTAGGATTTTGGCTAGCCAACAGAAGCATTCCTGAGTCCCAGTATAACAAAGCCATACAGTTTTCTTAAGGAAGGAGAAAAGGATTTCCCCCCTCTAAAATATGAAAGAAAGATGTTTCCTGGTACAGTTGGAAATAATCTAGAGCAGCACACCAACAGGTGTTTCAAACACAACGGCAGAGTGCAGAAGACATTAAGAGAGAGAATGAATAGACTCTCTAAATAATACCTAAATTTTACAGGCTTTTTTTTCTGTAGAAGCCCAGTGAAGTTACTGTATAAATCAGAAACTAAATTATTTATAAGTGGTGAATAAATCGTATTTCTCATTGAAATATTCCTCACAGGTACATGCCTCTCTCCATGCAATGAACAGAAATGGGCAACGAGTCTGAAAACACCAAGGTCTTACCTGGAATCTGGGTACTTCGTCAAGGTAGCCAGGCTGCTGGTGTACATGTGTCCTCCTACATCGATATGCACAGGAGCATTTGACTTGGTGAGTTGCGCTGGGAGAGGAATTCCTTGCGCAGCCAGAGGAGAAACCGGGGACCGTGTTAGAGACAGACGGGACATGCTTCTTCCCTCCTGCAAAAGGAAAGAAAAAAAGAACAGTTTCTCTTAAATCTACCAGTGTGTTACCTTTCTTTCCAGTGTGATCACAGATCTAATCAGATCATTTTTGCATCTGCCTGATCACATATTCAGTTAACAAATTATTGCCACCACTGTAATTAAGTGTATTTGCATCATTTTCTTCAAAGTACCAGAGGGGAAGAGAAAGATGCTTATTAGCAATAAGAAATCAAGAAAAAAAATTTTCAAGGTGTCAGCCTCAAGGGGCATAAAACAAACTGCAAAATTCTAATTAAAGGTCGCGGGCTTATGTGTTAGATGTGAAATATCCCCTGACATACGAATAACCAATTTGTGAATCGGGATTCAGGCGTTTTTGCAAGTTTGTCTCAGTAACAAGACACCTCTAAATTAGTGACTTCCTCAGTACCTAAGGCATTTAGTTTATACATGTAGTAAATTTCACATCAAACTAAGATCAATTTTCTGGTTTACTTTCAATAATGGTGAAATAAATGTATGATTTTCAGTTAAGCCTTAATATCAGACATAAAGAACTAATAAGCTTTCAAACCGAAAGCAATTAATACCTGGAAGCAGTGAAAACAGGAAGGTAAGTAAACTGACACATGCTTTCATGGCAAGACACGTGAAAAAGTACTGTACAATCTGGCATGTGAAATTACAAATTCAACAATCCACCTAATGCTTACTACCCTGAAAATACTTGAAAATTGGTGAAATTTCTGAATTGAGTCCAAAAATCCTCAGCTGATGTACAAGGCAAAAAAAAACACCACAAAATACTGAAATGTCTTAAAAATGAACAGGACAACCATAGCAAAAGAAAATTCCTCAATTCTCTTCTGGAAGAAAAACACAGCTTATTCTGCATGAAACGTGTGTCTCAAAGCTGATTTCAGTTAAATCGGTACAAACAGCATACATGTCAAACAGAAAAAAAACCTTTTATAAAAGTTTAAGAAAATATCCATCCATTCTCCCCCTTATGGGTAAAGCAACATACGCAAAACATTACAGTTGAAGACATTTCTGAATATAATCTAATTTTCTTGGTATTTTGTTCTGCAAGCATGCTACCAAGCACTCAGGCTCTTCCTTGTATCTGACAAGCACTTTACATGCAGCATGGCAAAGTGAATTCCCATTTCTCCCGCATTACTTTGACAGTCTTTCTTAGAAATCTAAAGCTGGTCTTGCCTTTCTCTTAGCAGTATTTTGCACAAGATGCCTGCCTAACCCACTTGATGAACATGCAATCAGCAAAAATTCTTTGTAAAACAAAACAAAACATCTAAGCTGTATAGAAAGGGAATGAGAAATGTTAATACATCTGGACAGCTTCACAAAGTCACTGCAACATCTCCATTTACTGTATTCCATCTTGGTTAGCTCCTAAGAATTTCCTGAATCTACAGCACAGAAATACATCACCCCATTATGAATCCACATCCTTTCCTCTTCAGAGGCTGGACGGACATCTGCACTGAACACGAAGCAAATACCAACTCTGTCTTTAGGACTTCTGTGTCAGCCGATGCAAAGTTGGGCATTAACATTTTTACTACAGCACCACCTTCAAGGAAAGTGATTGAATCCTTTCATGGCTGAAGACGTTGCTTTCTTGTTTCCCACAAGAGCCTGTTGTGGGCAATCTTCAATATGTCATAGAGCATAAATAACAGAACTAACTTTTAAGAACAACTTGGTGTGTAAGTACCTGCAGTATTTTAGCGACGTGTTTACTAATCTGTGGGTGCCTCATCTGTCTGCCAACACAGACAAAGGTTTTTGGTTGGGCTTTTTTTTTTTCCTTACCAAAGAGCACTGCAAACTCATGTTCACTCTCTACTCCTTCACTTAAATGAAAGGGTCAGAAGATCCAGGCTAAATGTCAACCCTTTGTTCAGACCCTAACCATTATCACTAATGATAAAGGTGCATGGTACAGAGCTGCCTTAGAAATATATCTCATGCAGTTTCACAAAACAAGTGCCTAATTAGGGCTTATATGCACCCCTTGTTACAATTTCCAAACGAAATCAAAGGACTTCCAGTCTTCTGTAAAAGGTGTCTTACATTTAACCATTTGTCTTGAAACACAGACTTCAATTTTAAAATATGCACAGATAGCTAAAGATCAAGTGATCTGAATCTATTTGTGCATATTTAAACACCGCTGCTATCTTAGGATTGTGTTTAATGTTAGTGTACCAGTAAATTCCTTGATCTGTAGAGAGTCTGAGATTCTCAGTGAGGCCATACTCACACAGTAGATATTTAATTTATACTATTCACTGGAGGGACCTTTTGAACAATCCTCTGCTTTTGGCATCTCTCAGCTAGAGCATGTGTTGAAAAAACACTTAATTATAGAAAATCACTGGAAAGCTAAAATAGTTCTCAAACTTTTATGGCTTTTCGTACTTACTGAAGGTGCCACTGGCTTTCTGGGGGAGAGGAGGAGAAGGGGAATTAAAGTAAAGGCTTTTCCCCTGGTTGGAGAGGATTCATATTAAAAAAATGAATCCTATGTTTTTATTAAAGTTGTGGAATTCAATCATTTTCATATGAGCAAATTATTGGGGGCATAACTACTAAGCATCACAAGAAGGGGTCTGAAAACACTCTTATTGCTCAAAAAAAAAATTAAATCCCTATTTCTCAAGGTATCGTAACCCTATTTCTAATGACTCCTTCCTCTTCTTAATGTGAAATGCAGCTAAAATTCATCACACTGAGTAATGTACTTACTTTATGCACAAAGCAAAATCCTAAATGTATTTATCCAGCAAAAGTCTTTATGCACATATTCTCTAATACTGACGTGAAAATTAAAACCTTAAGGGTAAATATCACAGAAACACTAACAAACTTCATTTATTAAACCATGTAAAATAATCCTTGCTCTTAAGTCGCCTACAACAGCATACAGCATCCCAACTAGTGGCACAGGCAATAACCCTGCTCTAATAAGTAACACAGAAACCTGCTGAAGGCAAAATCAATAGAGCCTGATTCCCAAATTATGTGAATATTTAGTTTTTCCAACATTACACACCAAGATCTTTCAGAGCCAGCTTATCTTTTTCTGCCTTTCTAAGCTAACTGCATAAGTACTGCTTGTAAAAACTATTTGCCCATGCAAAGTGAAATAATCACAATGCCATGCTCATTTACACACAAAATGATTTTGTGTCCCATTGTGCTCACAGTTGTTCAGCTCTCTAGGGGTGATTAAACTAGCTATGCTGCTACAGCTTGAGATGATTTCACTGAATCGTTTCTCCATGAAGTTGCTTCTTTGCTAAGCTGTTATTTTAACCATAAAAGGTAAACAGAAGGCAGTTGTAAGAGCTCCATTCAGCTCCGTGCCCAGGGCTATAACCCTAGGGCAGAGAATGCTGAAAGACTGCAGAATTTTCCAGGGTGTTGCCTTTCTTGCTCTAAAGCCTTTAGGAATACTGTTCATTTAATACACACTCTAGATGATACATTTCAGATCCTACTAAAAGAAAGACTTCAAAAGTGTAAGAACTTTTGGGCGGATGAAGCTTTCCCACCTCTGCACATAGCTCGGGGCCATGGTAACCAATACTGCTGTTGGATGTTGGGAAAATACAGCAGGAATAAACCGTGCAGAGCAGACATAGAGGGACAAGGGAGGTGAAAGGTTGCAGGGTAGAAACCGGCAGCAGGCTGGAAGGGGCAAAGAGAAAAAAGGGAGAAGAATGAAAAAGGAGGCGGCTCGGAAGGAGGGACAAAGTTAAATCAAGAAGCAGGCACTTAAAAGACTACAGATGGGAAGCAAGACTAATTAAGGATGTAAAAGCGCTTTGTTTCTAAAGTTTATTGTTGCCAGGATAAAAAATTAATTGAAACTAATGCTGTTATTCACTCGCGCAGTTTAATTCCTTCATGCACATTTAGGACGTTAGCTGAGAACTGCAGGTTTAAGGACCTGCCATGAGGCAGCCCTTTCCCCCGGGGGGCCAGGGCCCGGTCCAGCGTCTGCAGAGCCCCGGCTCACGCTCCCCGGGACTGCTCCCAGGCCGAAGTCAGGAAAGAGGAGGGGGAGGGAGCTGTCCTCCTCCCCCTCTGCCCCCCGAGACCTCCATTCCCATGCCAACAGGCCCTGAAGAGCTCCGGGGTAGCCTCCCCACGCAGCCCAGCACCCCGGGGCGGTGACCGGCTGCAGGAGTCACCCGCATGGCAGCGCTGGCGCGACCGGAGGGACACGGCGTCTGCAGACCCGGCAATTACCTTTGTCTTTACACACCCAGGGAGGGCGACCACTCGGGTCTGCCTCTGGAGCCACCCCGAGACAAACGCTCACGCCGTGAACCGGGCCTACAGACAAAGCGGGGGGGGGGGGGGGGGGGAAGGGGAAGGGGGTGGGGGTCTGCAAGCCACGGGCTCCAAGGCTCCAACACTAAAAGTCAGTGAAGGTTTGTGCTCACACCTCCACACCTCCTCGCTGTTTTCCTCAACACTGGACCGAGTGACAGAGGATATGGTGCCCAAAACTTTTACGGGGGGGGGGGGGGGGGGGGGCGGGGGCAGCTCCCTCAGGAAATCTGCCGGAAAAAAAAAAAACAACCACCTTAAAAAAAAAGAGGCTTCCCCCCTTCCCAACCCGCCTATCTCCAGCCTATTTAGTGCAAGTTTCACGTCACCCAAACGCCTTTCCAGGCGTGATGTCCAGGGAAATCACCAGCAAGCAACGCACCCGGTCACTCAACTTCTTCGTTTCTCTTTTTAAACACACTGTGTGCCCAAAGGTAAAATTCAACCAAAAAAAAAAAAAAAAAGGGCACAACATGGCGTCCTTTACTTATTCCCATATAACAAGAGAGGGGATGTCTTAGATGAATGCAAGAGAAAGGGGAAAAAAAAAAGAAAACCACCAAAAAGCCAGCCCCGAATCCCCGCTCCTGCACATTTTCCGCGCAGCCAATGGTGGTGAGCATTAGCCAGGCTAATGTATTAATTTTGCAGAAGTGTGCCACATCGCATGCAGGAGCAGAAATGCAAACTATAGCCTAGAGTGGTTTGAAGTCTACCCCAGACCAAGCCTTCCACTCTCACTGGCGCCAGAGTTTCATTCACAGCCCGCCCGTCTTTTCCATACGCGCCGCTCCCCATTGTCGCCCGCCTTCCCTTTGTGCCGAGCCGCCCCGTCGCCAGCCCCCGCGCCCCGCTCCGCGCTGCCCTGCGCACCGCCCGGCCGACCCCCGCGGCTCCGCTGTACCATGCGAGAGCGCGGAGCGAACCGTGCTGCCTCCGCCGCGCTGGGGCTTGGCCGTCGTCTTCAGAGCCGGGGCCGGGACGGCAGCGCGGGCACCCCGGGCCGCGGGGCTCCGCCGGCGCTGCCCATGCTGGAGCGGAGCAAAACAAAACATACACACACAGACGGAGACACGGCGCTATCAAAGCGGAGCGGCTGCAAACGGGTCCTGTAGCTTTAAAAAAAAAAAAAAAAAACAACAAAAAAACCGCCCCTCTGCCGCTTCTCCTGCGGAGCCAAGACCCGAGTTAGTTTGAAGAGGCACTTTCCAAAAAAAAAAAAAAAAATTAAATAAAAAGGAGGAGGGGGAAGCGGGAGAAGGCGAGAGCGCAGTGCGCCGCGATGCAAGGCGATGCACGACACGGCGCGCACTGCGCGCTCCGGCCCGGGCAGCCTCGGAGCCGCCGCCGCGTTCCTTACCTTGAGCACGGAAGAGATGTGCAAGCCCCCCTTTGGCTTTGGGCTCTGTTGGGTTTGTGTGTGATGGGCTCAGCTTTTTGCTTTTATTACTGTCTTTGCTCCGCAGATCCTGCTGTGATTATTATTATTATTATTATTTTTAAAGCTCCTCAGTCTCTCCTCTCCCCCCGTTTTTGCTGCTGCTTTTTCTATTTATTTTGTGTGTCTGTGGATGTGTGTGTGTGTGAGGGGGAAAAAAACCTTTAAATGAAACTGCCGAGGCTGTTATGAGAAGAAAGGCAATAATCCCGTCTCTAAATAACAGAGGGAAGGGAGAAGAGGAGGAAAAAAAGCGAATTCTTGCTCAGGGCTTTGCAAACGCCTGCAGGGCAGAGGATTAGGCTACAATTAGCTCAGCCCTTTGCTCTCGCCCTAGCTAATTTTGCGATGAAAATTGGATATTTTCCCCTCCTTTTGGTGAAGGTCTCCAGATTTATTCTTACTTCTCCCCCCCCCCCCCCCCCCCCCCCCCCCGGAATAAAATAAAACACAACCCTTGAAAATGAAATTAGGCTGGGAAGGCGGCCGGCTCCCCGGCCCCGCCGCCCGCAGAGCCCCTCCGCGCAGAGAAGCGCGGATCGGGGCAGGAGCCCCGCTCAGCCCCGCGGAGCGCTGCCCGGCCCTGGGGATAACGGTTCGGGGTTGGGGAGGATCAGGCCACTGTCACGTCCTTCAACAGACTTACTGAAAAGGAGGAAAAGGGGGATGGGGGCTGGAAGGGGGAAAAAAGCTGATTTTAATCATTGTCATTTGGTCTGATGTAATATTTCCCCAGGCGTTTTCAACTAGGCATAAATTTTCAGCTCCCAAATAAGTAACACAGGGCACGTTTCTCACATTTCTTGACTCCTCTGTTACAATTAGGGAAGCACCCACTCTGCACTTGTTGATAAACTAGATCAAGTTCAAAAATAAATAATAATTTTAAAAATAACCCCGACTCCCCCCTTCCCCCCCGCAGCACCCCACGCCGCCGGGGCGCGGATGGGGGGTCTCGAAGGCGGAGGGGGCGCAATTATTCGCCTCTCTCCCTCCTGTCTCCCCCTCCCTTTCACCCTTTGCTAATGTCTCGCATTGTAAACGCCAAATTTCCTGTAGGCCATTAAAACCAAATGACGTCTATCGACATGCATTGTGCTATTGCGGAGCGCCCTGGCAGCCCGCCCCCGGCCAAAAGCGCCATTTCAATTAGAGAGCGCGGCGCGATGGCGCGGGGCTCCGCGGGCGGCTCCGCGGGCGCGCACCGCGCCCGCCCCGCGCGGCGGGGGGAAGAGCCGGCAGGGACACCCCCCACAGAAATCCAAAAAAAAAAGGCAGAAGAACCCTCCCTCAACTTTCAGCCAAAGACGCGGGTCTGCCGATGCCTGCGCGGGGATGCGCGTCCTGCTCCGCGCTGCCCCTCGCTCAGGTTTGGGGGAAGGAGCCGGGCCGCTCCGTGCTTCACAGCTGGCGGGGTAACCCCGGCGCTTGACCGCCGTGCCCAGGGCAGCGGGATACCGCCGCCTACCGCGCCCGCGGAGCGCTGCCGTCCGCATTGCCGGCCGGCAGCCCAGCCGCGGCGTCAGCTCGGGCTGCAGCGCCTACTAGTGCCCAGCGCGGCCGCGCAGCGCAGTTATGCAACGCTGCGCGGCGGCCCTTAAAGGTCAGCCGGAGGGGGCCGCAGTCCGTACCCCTGCTGCGCTCCGTGCACCGTCTCTTCCCGAAGCAGGGGAGAAAGGCAGGACCCCCTAAAACTGAGTGTTTTTTTCCAAAGTTCTCTTCCGTGTCAGGAATAAACAGAAACTTTTTTCCTAAGGGTAGCTTTTTTTTTTTTTTTTTTTTTTTTGGAGTACAAACTACAGGAGAAGAGGGAAATTTTCTCATTAAAGTTACATCCCTGCAGTTAGTTCAATTACTTGATATATGCAGAAGATGTTGTAAATTTAAAGATTTAAATAGCTTACAAAGATGCCGGAGGCTCCATCAGTTAATTTCCTTAATTTATGGATTTTTAGCTGAGCTTCTGAAATGAAAAAAGAGAATGAGAACTAGGTCAGCAGAGAGATTTGCATCCAGAACAGACTAAAATTTGTTTTTCTTGACCATCCCTTCAACCAGGTGCTGACACTGGGGGGGTCACTGTCCCACCTCTGACCTCCAGGCTGGGACACCCATTTGCCTGTGTGAGCACAGCACAAAGGAGTGGATTTTATTCTAGAATAACCTGGGAACACCAGCGTGTCCCCATACCAGCTGCTTCACCTGTTTGCCGGATGAGGCTGCAGCCTAAGTAGTCTCATTTCCTCAGCTCTTGGGTCAACAAGTGAGTACAGGGAAGACAAACTCCACTGAAGCTCAGTGACCTGTCACACAGCACAAGTTTCACTTGGCTTTCCCATAGGAGTGTGGGCAGACACTTTGGGATGACTCGACATTGTAATTTTTACTTCCTTTGTGAGTTACTAGCTGCTAAATGAAAAATAAATACGAGAATCTGAAACAGCAATCAGAGCATCATAAAAATAGAATTCTTCTGCATCCAGGCACAGGAAAGAGGGAAAAGAAGATCCAAAGTCTCGGTGCTGAATAAGAAGTAGAAATTGTGTTTTGACTCATCCCAACGGGTCTGTGACAGGTACCATTTAACTGTGCTGTGTGGAAATAGGATGCGGGTCTAATAAAGATTTGGTTGGTTGGTTTGTTTGTGGATGAAAGCAAAGACGTAGCAGCACTGGGGATGGAAAAGGCACGCGCGGGGTATGTAACTTGTGTGGGATTGATTTTACAGTATCGAAGAAAAGGACAATGTACTTGAGAGCTTTGAGTTTTTTCTTGCTTGTATTATTGCTGAGGGTAATAAAGGTACGCATTACAGCTCTACATGCACTCACTCCCTTTCTTCTCGCTCCAGTGTGTGAATGCTTTTCTGTTGTTGTGTTTCAATGTGCATGAATATATACATACGAATTAATACTTAAAAGATTGATACAAACTAAACAGTTTTAGGAAGCAACATTGCAATATGATTAGCATTGGTGTTCGTGATTTAACATTTCTTTTCCCACTAGATGAAGTTTCTAAGATTTGCAAGGTACGTGTCAAGGACGGGTATATAAATGGATTTTTATTTATTCACAACTCCAAGACTAATTGCTTCTGTTTGCCTGAAGGCCAAGAGATTGGTTTTAATATGAAACTTCAAAAGTATTCATAGAACTACAGAGATACTAAGTGTCATTGTTTAAGAGAAAAATCTCGCTATGCTACTTGTGACCCTGAAAATAAAATCTTCCAGTGTATTTTGAATCCTAATGTTTTTCAGAGTTTCACTTAAAGCTCAACTATTAAGAAGTGTACAAAGGAGAGTATTAAATAGTATGTAGTGAACAAAAAAAAAAATACTTCTAGAACTGAACATAACTTATTTTCTCAACAACTCTATTATCCTCCCTATAAAGCAATACAAAATTTATAACAGGAGATTCCTGAGCTCGGTTACAGGGTATTACAATCAAAAGTGATAAGTTGTAACTTATCATAGGTGTTTTGAAAGTTCTTGGTCAAATGACCAGCCTATGTTTTAGAGACTAAATACTTTAAAATAAATGCTTTGGATTTTTTTTTCTTGCCAGCAGTTCTTTGTATCCTATGCAGATGTTTTAAAATAGAATCGGACAGAACCTTTCTGTAACCTGTTTTTTATCTGATTATTCAACAGTTCATTTTGCTTTTATTTTTCAATAAATAGGTAAAAAATACTGACATTCTTAAGAGAAGCCCATAAAGAAGTCCTGCTCATTTTTCTGTGTTTTTTTTTGGGGGGGGGGGGGGGGGTGGATGTTCTTCAAAAGTAACAAATTGTGGATATTTTACAGGACGGAAGATGACTAGATTGTGAAAAGATGCAGATTTGAATGAATATAAATTTCCTATCAAAAAGATGTTCCAAATATATTTTGAAATTATCAGATTTGAAACTTATTGACAGTGTGAAAGAAAGTGTCATGAATTGAAAAATAACACTGACCTCTTCTACACTGTACTATTCAAATCAGAGTAACAACTTCCAGTTGGTATTTATTGTTCTTGAAGGCCCTGTACTTATGGTAGTAGGCCTCATCCTGAGTTAGTCCTTTACTTATATTATGTGTCTTACCTTGAGGTTTAAGCCTGACTTAAAGACTTCTTACATTACATACCTTAACCCAAGGCTTGATCCTGGCTTCACAGTGATGATATTTCCACTGATTGCAAAAAGTGCAGGAAGAAATCCATGGCCTGCCTCACCCTCCACTCTGGGCATTTGAAGATAAAGCATTAAATAGGAGAGAAAATTGATCATTTCCTGAGATGTTTAAAGCAGATAAATGAGAATTAGGGGGTTGTTCCTTTACCGCAAATGAATTGATATTAAATGTACACTAATACTCTTTGCAGTCACAATTAAGACACCACTGTAACCTAGATGGGCTTTTATATAGGGAGAGAAGATTTGAGAAAGAAATTGGTGCTTCAAAGTAGTTGTTGGACTTTTCTGTACCTTTAGTCAGCAAAGCCTACCTGGCTTTATTGCCTTCAGTGAGGTTTTGTGGATGTGACTGCATTTAGCTCTGTCTCCTACACTGCAGAGGCACAGGGGAGAAACATGTCCAAATACAGAGAGTAGGCAGGCGTGGATCCTGTGACTAGCACCATTGCTTCCCTCACTGAAAATGAGCTAGAAACAGAAGGTGTGGAAGGCTGATGTTAGAAATGAGTTGAGCTGCCAGAAAGGTTTGTTCTTGTGAGAAACCTTAAATATAAACACCTTGAAATCTCAACACTCGTTACAGTCAGTTGACGTATAAGGAATAATAAAAAGGAAGAATTAAGGACATCTCCCAGTTTTCAGGCCAGTTGCAGTGCCAGTCACCTGGAATAGGAACTTCACCTAAGGTTTGCTAATTAAGTCAAACAATTGTTTGTCATTTGTAAGCAGATAGGGGGTTTCCTGGCAGCAAGTAAGCATGATCATGCAAAGAACTAAATCTGATTATTAGGAAATCACCAAGTCTTGTCACTCTTTTCCCTTGAATGCTCTTCTGTTCTTTTCAAGAAACAGCTTGGTGCTGAGTAAGTTTACAAACCATTACTTTATTGACTAAATACAGAGGGACTGCTTTTAAAATTATCCATTATCCAGTGCCTAACTCCTGCCAACAGCGTGATACAAAGAAATAAACACTGGAATGCCAAGATGAAATAGGTTTTTGGGAAATACGGTATAGGAAAGGTTTGCCTGTCTCTTCTGTTTCCAACTCTCACAAGACAAAAGTAGTTTACAAAAATTTACTCAATCAAGATGTCCCATGTTAGCATTCAGTTCAGTGTTTCTCAGTTTTATACATTGCCATTTTGTTGTGTGCTCTCACTCCTCTTCTTAAGCAGTTACAATAACAAGAAGTA